AAACAGAGCAAGCCCCTCTTGTCTTATGACACAGCCCTTTACTTGATACTTGCTTATGCTATTAGATGCTCCAGAAAATGAATTTGATGGTGGACGTACTCTTAATGTAATTTGAGAGCAAGCATCAACTTCTGGAATGCTACCAAAGACAATTTTATTAACTCACAGACAATTTTGAAAAAACTATTAAGACATATTGTCTTAGTCAGGGTTTCTAATCCTGCAAAAAACATCATGACTAAGAATCAAGTTGGGGAGGAAAGGATTTATTCAGCTTACACTTCCACATTGCTGTTCATCACCAAAGGAAGTCAGGACTGGAACTCAAGCAGGTCAGGAAGCAGGAGCTGATGCAGAGGCCTGGAGGGATGTTACTTACTGGCTTGCTTCCCCTGGCTTGCTCAGCTTGCTTTCTTATAGAACCCAAGACTGCCAGCCCAGGGATGGCACCACCCACAATGGGCCCTCCCACCCTTGATCACTAATTGAGAAAATGTTTTACAACTACTGGATCTTATGGAGGTATTTCCTCAAGGGAGGCTCATGATAACTCGAGCTTGTGTCAAGTTGACACACGAAACCAGCCAGTCCATGTACATGTGGAACACAGTTAGGAAGTCATCTCTAGAGATAGCTATAGCATTCTGCAGTGCAGTCCAGTCCAGTCCAGGATTTTTGCAAGATCACAGGGTCCAACTTAATTCATCACTCTTCCTATCAAGGGTTAATATCCAGAAAATGGTACGAGTTCAAAACACATAATAAAAAAGAAAACCCAGTTTAAAATGGGCATTTGACCTGAACAGGTGCTTCTCAAGTGAAGAGATAACAAGTGACCCACAAACACATGGGAAATGCTCAATATTGTCAGCCATCAGGGAAATGTCAATCAAAACTACAAGCTTTGACTTCATTTAGAATATGTAACTTTTTTTTTTCAAAATCTACTTTTAATCTTGATTCTTAAATGCTTTAACCTCCCTTCTAGCCCACCACCCACCAAAGGTAGTGGAAAAGAAAGAATACAGACAAAGTGGACCTGTTTAGAAAGGTTCTTTGGAGCAAATCCCATCTGTGTTGTCAGGAAATTAGCAGTTCAGTTCACAGGTCAGCAGCACCAGCCTGAGCCACTGGGAAAGACATCATGAATACACCAGCAGTCCAGTTCAGTAGTGTCAGGATAGCAGCAGCTGTGGCATGACCTAGCAGGAACAGCCAGGCCTCAGCAGAATTGTCAGGAGTCAGCAGGAGGGGCCATGGCTAACAGGAATGTCAGGAGCAGCTTTCTGCTGTGCCTCTCTCACAATACAGTGAAGATCAGTGAAGATTCGAAACCAACAAGTGTTGCACAGCTAGCTCTACCAGCAAACAAATCAAATCTTCTCACAATCTGTTGAGTCCTGTTTATGCTCCCTCCAAACATCACCTGTCCTCCGCCAGTCTTGCCTCAGCACGTGAATCTGGTTTAGCAAAACTCCACCTCCACGTGAGTCTGTCTCAGCTGACATTGCTCTGCCAATCAGCCTGAGTCTGAGGAAGTGGCAAGAAACTGCAGGACACCACCAGAAATTTTTGGTGCATTTCTCTCTATGGAGTCCCAACAAATGGAGTTCAACTACACAATGTAAGGTGTACTAATACATTCACATCATTAGCAAAGAATCCTTCATCACGTGTCTTTTCACTTGCTTGCTTTAGCAGAACATCCTTTCTCCTGTGTCTGCTTCATCGAAATGTTCCTTCATGTGTCTGCTTTAACAAAACATCCTTTCACTTGTGTAGGATTCAGAAAAACACTCCTTCACATGTTTGCCCCAGCAAAACACCATCCAACACAACTGACTTTCCAAAGAACCCCAAAGTTTCCACTTCAAGAATGGCTTCAATTAAATTAATAATAATGAATGCTGTGGGGGGCGCACAGAGAAGGGGAACTGTAAACTCTGGGTAGACATAGAAAACAGTGCAGCCACCATGGACAATAATATGGAGGTTCCTCACAAAACTCAAGATAGGAAAGTGATAGGATCTGACCATGTCACTCCTGGGATAGAGTCAAAGGAAAGAAAGTCAGAGATCAAAGAGCCACTGGCGAGCCCATGTGAATTACAGCATTATCCACAGAGGCTGAGATGAGGAGTCAATGACCACTGAAGAGTGGGAGCATACAGAAAATGTGTTCATCATGGAAATTTCAGAATAAAGAGTGAAATCCTGCCATCTGCAGCAAGACGGACAGAGGGTGATGTCATGTGAAATAAGAAATCCATATCTAGAAAGACACCCTGTTCTTTCACATGAAAAAAAAAAGTTGACTGAAATACAGAGCAGAAACCACAAGAGGCTGTGTGTGGGTGGGGGAGGGAGAGATAAGAGGAGGGTAAGTTTGATTACTGATACATGACGCTGAAATATCACAGTGAACACTGTATGTGCTGAAATATCACAGTGAACACTGTTAATATGTAATAACACATGGAAATGAAAATTAAATGTTTTTAAACATTTTTATTGGTTCTTTGCAAATTTTATATCATGCACCCCAATCCCACTCATGTCCCCTCCCCTTATACTTGCCCTCTGCCCTTACAACCTCCTCCCCAACAGAGAAAAAGCTATCTCATTGTGGAAGCTGTAGTGTGTCACAGCGTTTACCATAGTATACCTTTTTTTCTACACTTGCAAATGTTCATTGCAACGACTCATTGGTCTGGTTTGAGGCCTCTGGCTTCTGTTACTCTATCAATACTGGATCCTCACTGAGACTCCCCTTGAATATTTCGTTGTCGGCCTGTGTCATGGAGATCCTATACTCTTGGATCTGTAGGACTGGCCCATTCACACACTCTAGCCATCAATGGGGTATATATTGTGGTAGGCCAGCGTAAAGCCTGGATCTGGGCTTGAGAGGTATCTGAGCTGGTCACCCTGCTAGTTCTCCCCTCTCATGCCCTTGGGATTGGCTCACCAGCAAATCCCCACTGCCCCCCACCCCAGCTCTACCCTGCTGCCTACTCTCCTGAGTGTTGGAGCTACTGAGGAACATGGGCAGTTCTACCACTCTCATGACCCTGGGGCCATCTCTCCTGCCTGCCATAGGTGGCAAGAGACAAGGGAAGGGAGGAGGGCATCTGTCCACTGGCCCACCAAGAACGGATCATCCCACCCATCTCCGGCTTAAACCAGAAAGGGTTTTTGGTGGGGCCTTTCCCTTTAAATTGAGAGCTGAACATTAAAGCTTTGAGCCTTGATCAGAGAACTTTGCCTTGGCTTCACCTCTTCTTGCCCTCCGTCCACCTTTCATTCCCAGCCCCCCTTTCAGGTGAACCCAGTTGATCCATGGCCACAGGCAGCTACAAGGCAGGGTTAGCTCTCCTGAACTCACACCCTCAGAGCTACCTCATCTGCAACCCTATGTCCAGGGGCAGCTCTACTGTGCTGCCCAGGTGAGGGGCTGGGCCGGCTCTCCTGAGTGCTGTAGCAGGTGAGAGACAGGACCAGCTCTCCTGAGTGCTGTAGCAGGTAAGGGACAGAGCCAGCTCTCCCGAGTGCTGTAGCAGGTGAGGGGCAGGGCCAGCTTTCCTACCTGGATGGGCAAGGGGCAAGAGTTGGGGAGAGCACCTCTCCCTTGACCATGCTGCCTGCTGCCTGGCAGGCAAGTTGCAACACCAGCTCTCCCACACTCAGCCTTAGGGCCAGCTCACCCACATCCCTGCCATCAGGGTCAGCTCTACCGTGAGATGAGATGCAAGGTCTGCTCTCCTGAGGACTGCAGTAGTAATTTTGTCTAGGCCTATTCTCCCACCTACCGCTAGTGGTAAGAGCAAAAGGGGGAAGTATCTCTCCTTCACCAATTATCACTGCAGAGCAGACAAGAGGCAGAGCTGGCTCTCCTGTGCTCACACCCTCAGGCTGGCTCACCTACACCTCCCACATCCGGGTAAGCTCTACTATTCTGCACGCTCTCCTAAGGACTGCAGTGGGTGAGGGACATGGCCAGCTCTCTTGCTTTGATGACCTCAGAGCCAGCATTCCTACATGCTGTAGGTGGCAAGGGGTGAGGAGGTGGCATCTCTCTCTCTCACTCATTGTGACCCATAGCAGATAAGTGGCAGAGCCAGCTCTCCCATTCCCACGTCCTCGAACTAGCTCACCCAGACCCCACCACCAGGGTTAGCTCTACTGTGTTGCCCAGGCAAGGTGCAGGACTCACTCTGCAACTGGAGAGGAGCAGGGACAGCTCTCCTGCATTCATGACCTCAGGGAAACGTTTCCCACCTGCCTCAGACAGTGAGGGAGAGGGGAAGAGGAGGGTATCTCTCCCTCGTTCATGTTACCACACAGGAGACAAATTGCAGGGCCAGCTCTCTCATGCTTGTATCCTCAGGACCAGATCACCTACATCTCCTGACATGTGTGGGGCTGGATCTTCCAACTGCAGCTAGTGGGAGTGGATCTGCTCTCATGCTCTGGTTTCTCCAGGGCCAGCTCTCCCAGAATGCCCAGGCAAGGGGTGAGACCAGTTCTGCACAGCCCTCAGACAGCAGCCCAGACCAGAAATGTCCACCTGGCCATTGATGGTAACAGACCCCTGCTGCTCCAGGACCATGCACCCAGACATGGCTCTGGTGGCAGTACAGGCCAGTACCCCACCTTGGTTCCAGGTGGTGTCACCGACTACTCACATTGGGCTGTCCCTCACTATCATCGAGTCTCCAGTTCTGCCTCTCTTCGTTGTACCCATATCCTTCCATTTCTCCACCACATACTCGCTCTTCTTCGTGGTTTTCATGGTTTTTGGGTGCCTGGGTCATCTCAGGAGTGGCCTTAGGAGTGCTCTGCCTTCTCATGCTTTTTGGCATCAGGCAAAGGTGATCTTGGGAATTGTCTCCCCCTGCCCTGCCTGCATGGTACTGGACTGGTAGTCATCTCAGGCTAGTTCCCTGTCTAGGCCCCCTGACCCCAGACTGGTGGTCATCTCAGGCTTGCTTTTTTCAGGGAGTGCTGGGCTACTAACTATTCGGATGTTCACAGGTCAGAACACTGAGCATAGACACAGCCTCTCTACTCTTTGCCACCTGCTGAGGTATCTGTGACACAGGAGCCACACCTGCAAAGACTCTAGGGTCAGAGAGAATTCAATGTTTAAACATATAAATACATTTCTTCATAAGTCACTTCTTAAATTTAGAATAAACCCTGCTATCCTGACACTTGCCCAGTTTTACCATATAAATACATGACCTGAAATTTAAGGCAAAATTACAGACTTATTTTTCTCCTTGCTTTCAAGTGGGAAATGAAATTAGCAGTGCTCACTATTACATTGTATTTACTTACTAATATCTGCTAATCTGTGTGTGCACCCATATTGCCAGTCTGTGCGTGGCTGGGGACAGCTCTTAGAAGTCTGCCTCTTCCCGGACTACACAGGTCCCAGGGAAGGAGCCTTGGCCGATTTATTTGCTGAACACCTCAATGGAAGCAATCACGATTAAACAACTCACTACAAGGCTTTCCAAGCCCTCTTGAAGAAGACAGATATTGCAACAACAATCACAAACAAGTATGTTATTTGCGAAAGTGCTGTTAGAATTTCCTCTCCAATCGAAATGCCACATCGCCAATTAGGGCATTTGTTAGAGAAAAATCTGCACAGTGAACATATCGATCTGTCCAGTGAATATGTCTGCAGTGGGAAGAGACAGCGACAGTCGGATGACTCATCTGTATTTTCTGATTCAGGTAATGTGGTGAGGGGCAGAGTCTCTGGCGTAGACACCCACTCAAGATCAGAGGGCCCCTGCTATGTGATGTAGGAAACCCCTGCACACACTCTTGTGCCCTGCTGAGTAAAAGTCTGTCATCGTTTTTATATATAAAGAGCTCTTCATTTTTAAATAAAAGTCAATGGGAGATACCTAGGTAATGTTCCATCCGACTTGGTGTGGAAAACAAGGGCCAGTAGCAAAGTCCGTTCATCGGTGCATTAACGTGCCAAGGCTGAGCACACTGCTAACCACGGAGAATCAATTCTGTTTCTGTTCCGACTCTGCTAAGGTCATAGAGCAATGACCTCTGTGTCAGCTTACTTGGCAAACATGAACACAACCAGCCCTCAACAGTGGAACATGCTTTTATCTTCCTGCTTGGATCGCTCTCACTGGCTTTAGTATAAGTGGAAGGGAGATTAAGAGAAGCCAACAGGGCTTGCTGGAGACCATAGCGAGGCACCACCCACAGATGCGTTCTGAGGACCTAATGCCGGGGATTTAACTGTAAGCCTTTGGCATCATGTAAATGAAAAGGGTAGGAAAGCAGAAAGGTGAGGGAGGGAAAGAGGAGCAGGAACCAGGGAGGGGAGAGAGGAGCCATTTAAGCAGTGTAGGTGGGAGCTGTGAGGCCTAGAGAGTGAGAACTTAAGGGTCTAAAACAAAACCCCTGTTACCTGCCCCACCCCAAAAATCCAGCAATCCCCAAATAACTTAATTCAAATAACTTTCATCACCTGGTCCTTTGTGTAAGTGTTGCTGTTAGAACAACCACCACCCCCTGCCCCGAACACACACACAAACACACACACACACACACACAAAACAGGCTGCCATTTAAATTCAGCTAGGCAACTGAGTCTCCTACCGCTTCCTAAACAGTGTAATTCAGTGAAAAGAATTCTTCTGTATTTTAAAATTATTAGAAATCTTTTTATCACAAATGTAAAATACTCACTAATGTGATCAAGGAAGGTATCCAGTGTCAATGTTGGGCCTTTGCATGCATGTACACATGTTCGCCCACACACATAAACATTCGTGCACACTACACATACGTGCATATACAAAATTAATTCACCAAAGTATTTACTGTATTTGAAAAGCAATTTCCTCAAAAATTACCACTGAACAGACATGAACAAATTGGAAAATACCAGTTAAGATACATATTTCTCTGGTCAAAAAAAGGACAACTTATAAGAGATAACTCAAAATCTACTCAGAGACCTTATATTTTTGGTTGAGAGCCTAGCCTTTAAGAGTGGAGCAATCTCTCCAGCCCATACTCAGAGGGCTTACTTGACTTTTTTCCCTAAAATATTTTGGAAATGCAAAAAGATTGGCTATTGTACCCATCATGTTTCCAATACTCTAACAAATTCCTGAGATAATCAACTTCTCCGGAGGAAAGGTTTATTTTGAGTCACAGTTTCAAAGGTTTTGTTTCATGGTGGCTTGGCCCTGTTGCTTTTGGCCTGTTCTGGTATAGGGCTTCAAGACAATAACATGTGGCAGTGGAGAACTGTTTCCTCAGGGTACCCACAAAGCACAAGAGAGTCACAGCAAGGTGCCAGCTCTTGACATTCCCTTCAGGGGTAGATCTCCAGTGACCTGATTTCCTTCCATTAGGACCCCCTCCTGCCTAAGAGTGGGAACCTCAATACTAAGTGACCCTCCCCATATCAATCATTAATCAAGGAAATGCCTCATCACAGACATGCCCACAGGCCAATCTGATGGAGGCAATTCCTCAGTTGAGGTTCTCTCTTGCCAGGTGATTCCAGTTCGTGTCAAGTTGATGAAGACAACCCAGCACAACTGGTCCCTTGCCATTTAAGACACTAACATATTACTATGAAAACACAACCTTTCCTCTCTTGTTTGTGCCCAAGAACTTATGGTGATATTAGCATCACAACATGAAACATAGTCCAACTTTTAAAAGTCAAACAGTCTCTAAAAATGTCAACACTTAAAAAAAACCTTTAACATCTCTTTAAAATATCCAAAACCTCTTAATCGTGGGCTTCTGTAAAAGCCAAAATAAACCAAGGCACAGTTACAAGTTCAAAGCAAAACCCAAATCCAACAGTCAAGAGTGAAAGAGGAAAGATTTATTTTCTACTGTTGTTTCAGAGGTTTTGGTCCATGGTCACTCAACCCAGCTGCTCCAGGTCTAAGAACAAACATCATGGCAGGGGGTAGCACAGAAGCAATGAGGCTGTAATCATAGCAAGAGGAGAGAGGCTAGGATTACACGGCCCCTCTAAGGGCATATCCCCAGTGACCATCCTTCCACCAGGCTTCACTTCGTCTCACTCCATCCCAAGGTTACCATCACTTATGGACCAAGTCTGCAATACATACATAACCCTTAGGGAAGCGTTAGCAAGCAGAAGCTAGGAGGAATGTAATTTCCCCACACCTATGGTGGGCTTGAGATCTTGAAAAGACTTGAGAACAGCCGCAAAGGATAGTCTCCTGTTTCTTGTTCTTATTTTTAATATGAGTGTTTGCCTTCATATATGTCTGTACACCGTGTGTATGTCTGATGCCCATAGAGGTAAGAAGAGGACATTGAGAACCGGAGTTATGTATACTGTGAGCCACCAAGTTCGTGCTGGAAACTGAACCCAGGTCCGTTGAAAGAGCAGTAAGTTCTTTGAATCACTGAGCCATCTCTCCAGCCCCATAGTGTTCTGGAAAAAAAAAATGCTAAATTTTTATTCATTTATTTTAAGTGTGTGTATATCTGTGTGGACGCACAACTTCTGTGCTGCACATACACACAGAGATCAGAGGACAACCTGGAATTTGTTTTTCTCCTTCTACCATGTGGGTCCTAGGGAATCAAACTCAGATCCTCAAGCAAGTGCTTTACTTTCTGAGCCCTCTTAGCAGCAGTCAGCCTAACATTACCTTGTAGCCTGTGAACTTGGGGGCTTGGCAGGATTGGGGGGGAAATGGAAGAAATAATCCCTTGAAATTGTCTCAGGTGGGTCAAGAAAAGAAGACAGGATAGGATAGTTTGAAGCTGAAAGAGATGCATTGGTCACAGGAGTGTGGAGGACCCAGGAAAGGCCAGAGGCACAGGAGAAAGAGTTTTGAGCAGAGAGAGAGGAAAAAATAAAAAAAACAAGGTGGCAAAGATGATATTGAACGTTAAGAACTGCTGGAGGTTCCTTCAGAAAAAAAGATTGGTCTCTGAAGAAGCACAGGAGGGAAAAAGAAAGTGAGACCCAATGCTAGAAAAAGGCCCAGGGTTCCTGCCTACTCTCCATCACAGCTTGAGGATCTGGATGGGTTGGAGAGATGGCTCAGCGGTTAAGAGCACTGACTGCTCTTCCAGAGGTCCTGAGTTCAATTCCCAGCAACCACATGGTGGCTCACAACCATCTGTAATGGAGTCCAATGCCCTCTGCTGGTGTGTTTGAAGAGAGCAACAGTGTACTTACATATGTATAAATAAATTTAAACAAAAACAAAAACTGCAGCTGACGCAGAGAACCCTGGAAACAGGGCAGGAAGCCTCCTGGACACCCTGCTGTACAGAAAGGAAGCCCTTATGAATGAATGAATAAATGAATGAATGAATGATTGAAGTGGCACTGTGATTTGTGGTGTGAACAGGTTCCTTTTCTGGGCTGGTTTGTTGTGGGAGCTGAGATCCAGGTTCTCAAGCTGGGATGGCTTGAATAGGCAGGAACCCTGGGCCTTTCTCTAGCTTTGGGTCTCACTTTCTTCTTCCCTCCTTCTGCTTCTTCAGAGACCAAACTTTTTCTGGAGTAACACATTCTTTCCCAATGTGGCTAATATCAACCAAGATTCAAATAATAAAAATGCATCCTTGATAGACTGTTTAAGGATTTTGATTCCCCTGTAGACTGAAGATAAGATGGTACTGCTCGGAACAGCTATTAGGAGTAAATGAGGACATCCACATGAGGTCTAATGGTGCCCAAGCCTGGATAACAGCACGGTTTCTGGGAATCTTAAACATTGCACAGGTCCTGCCTGATATCTACTGAGTAAAAAGTCTTAACAGAACAAGACCAGGAAATTGAATTTTACTAGGCTCAGTGGCTTCCCTTTCCTCCCTTTCTGACAGTCAAACAAAGAACAAACGTTGGGGTTTAGGTTACAAGACATCAGCAAATCTTGGTGAGGGGCCTTGTTTTGAAAAACAGTCTAAGACTTGCAACTCACACCATCCGAGTTCAGGCTCTCGCGCAGAATCTTCACTATGGCTCCTGAACCTAAGAGTGGAGCACCCATGGGACTCCAAAGTGCCCCAGAGTCCAGAGTAGCATCTCAGGTGCTGTTTTCTAAACTCAGAAACCTAAAGAATTCTGGGGCAA